TGAAAACATTCCGATCTTATCAAGACCACAGGGTGGCTCCCAGGACTCCACATGGCTTCCTCCCGCACCAGTTACTCTTGCTGTCTACGCTACAGCGACTCTGACATCTTCAGTTTCTCAAAGTGCTTCCCTCCTACCATATAAGTCCTTTCCAAATACTGCTTAAAATTTATTATTTTAGTTTTTTAAAATCTAGAACATTCTTCCAAAGTCTTAGTTACCACACCAAGGGGCACTTTCCAGGGAGATTTTAGATGTCCTTCTAAGAGGCTAATCAGGTTCCTTTATCTTACAAGATCATAATATTTATCTAAATTAATATGAACACTGACAGATACAATGTATTGAGTGTTAAAGTTCAAGCATCAACCACAGTGCTAATGATTGCACAATCACGATATTTAAATATCATCTAACTAAATTTACAACAACATCTGAGAGACAGGCAATAGCATCCTTGCTATTTTGTAGGAAGAACAGAATAGCCCAAGTGATGTGCTGAGTGTACTTTCAGTTCTGTGATCATTTAATTCTGAACAGTTGGATTTTCCCACAGGGCTTTGGGTTTGGAGTGAGCTAAGGCCAGATCTGTTACTGATCAGTCCTGTTAGAAGCCAGCTTGGCATGTAAAATGTGCCCACTATGTACCTGCTGATTGGGATAATGAGTATTTGAATGAGTAATGAAGTAGGACACATTTTCATATGGAAACTAACTGGGTTTTCCTTTTGTTCTGCAGTCCAAATCAGTCACCTATGAGATTGTTTACAAAATTCTGGACAGATGCTTGCAAATGAGAAAAATGGCATTCATAGTCCTGGAGATGGTGTAGAGCATCCTCCAGTCTTCATTTTGATGACCATCTGTTCCACTTCCAAATGAGGCACCAATTCAGTTTAACTCACAGTTAAAGATGAGAGGGGTCCCCCCACCCTTCTAGTCTTCTGGGGCTCTTAGAAGGGAAGAATAGAGGAACTCACACTCACAATGACACACGGATATGTGCATCTTGTATTAGATAAGTCTAAAACTGCAGTTTTTCAAGAAGTCTCAATTTCCTGAATCTAAACATGAGAGGGCTATTTCTTACTTGTGTAACAGCCTGTTGTGGTTGTAATGCTAGCCCAGATACTTTTTCCTTTGGTGATTCAGGAATCCAGCTTCCTCTTGCTGGGGCTCCCAAATACTGCTGCCCCAATTCTCCCACTGTGTAACAAAAGGGCCTGGGAAAGTGTGTTTGCTTCCTCAAAACTCTGGCCCCAAATTAAGTACATGATCTCTACTTACTTCTCTTTGTTAGAAAGACCAGCTCTAAAGACTTCTAGGGAAGGCTAGAAAATGCTATTTGTCAGTCCAGAAAGAAAATAGAAAGGGAAACTAGTTGAGTGAATTTCTGGGTGTCTGCTCCACCCAATCAAGCAAGGCAAAAGAATGCCTGAAATCAGCGCACAGAACATTGGAAGGTGGACTGGGGAGCTCTTGAGTAACTTACAACATCTAAAAGGACTGTGGTTAAGGAAAAAATAGGGAAGTTCTTGATAGGAAAAAGTAACATGCAACAGTCATAACTAAAGGAACTGAGGTTGATGCCAAGAGAGATGAGGACAGGAAGGAGTGAGGGCAGGAAGAGGTGAGTCCAGGGAGGGAGGGAGGGTGGGAAAGGACTGAAGACAGGAAGGGCGGAAGGAGGGAAAAGGGAAGTCAGCCTTTGTATGTGTCAGAGTCAAACAGAAATTATTTTAATACTCTTTTTGTCTTGCTTTTTCCTTCCTTCCTTTTCTAAGTAATTAAATAACCAACAGATCCAACCCTTCACCACAAGTATCTTAGCCCCTAATGTGAAGATATGAAATAATTAGAGGATTTGCTGTGTAAGGGGTTTAATGCCATAGACAACTTCTGTTTTCAAGACTGAGCTAATTATAGAGGATGAGGCTGAACAAAGGGAAGGCATGCAATTAGCAGCGTAGTGCTTCCTGCAAGGCAGCTTGGTCCAGGAGCTTTGCTGAACTGTGTCTGTATTAGACCAACAGTCATCTGGGGTTCATCTTTTAGAAGAATCCTTTGAAGACTTTAGAAACTCCAGATTTGGCCATCTTGTACTTCACTGTGGTGATGGATTGTAGGACTTTAAAATCTATCCCAATGCGAGAGGGCGAATAGAAGGCTCATATGGAGAAGCCTGGTGTTTGGGTGCTCTCCTACTCCGTGGCTTGGTGATGTATTCAGTGAGCTCTTTCTTGCATTGTCTAGAGGTAACAAAGCATATGAAAGCCCTCAGCACAGAGCTGGGGCTGTATTCAAAACTGACTTTTAATCTTAGATCGATTTCCTTCTCTTCCTCACTTTTCCTTTCTTTTATCAAGATTTTATTCAAATAAAAACCCTTAAGACTTTCAGAATGCTACAAGGACGGCTTAGATCCAGATGACTGTGTCTCCTCTCAACCCTCTGAAGCCCAATAAAGGGCATTACCACATCAGTGGTGCTCTAGCTGAGCAGTGTCAGGGATAAGGAAGTACCTGGGCTGTCTGATCCCAGGGCAGCATCCCTGGAGGGCTTACTCAACTCTTTCCTTCCAAAGAGAATGAACTGCATGCCACCACAACGCAATGTGTTTTTGGCGGTCTGAGTGTGAGTGTGGATGGGGCAGTATTCTGCTTGCAAACAAGATCTTAAATGCAAAAGACAATCCCCTGCTTTGTAAACACTAAAGCTTCCGTAAAGAGTCCTTTAAAAGTTCGTACTTTTCCCTGGATTTTGCTGGCAGAAATTAGCAGTTGATATGAAAAGTTAAGAGTTCAAAAGCTGCCCAATATTACTCATTATTCATTGGAAAATATTGTGGGCTGCCCTTCCTCGTCTTCAGTGCAGCTCAGTATGAGTTGAAAAGAAGAAAACCCTTCCCTCCCAAACAGGCATTAGGATGGCATTATCATATCAATAGCCCACATGCAATGTTCTTGATAAAACCCTCACCATCTAGAGGCATGTGATAAAATGTGAGAGTTTGATTTGGGTAAACAAATCAAAGGCATTTTCAGTCAAGCTACTTAATCTGTTTAAGGCACTGCCAGGAATATAAACATCAGAGGAGCCAAGCATTGAGGCAGCTTGGGGTAGGAAAAAAATCTCTGAAGATTGCTCCTTTTTCCTAATTTACTATAATCTAGCCACATTGGCCTTCATTCAGTGCTGGGAGGCAGCCAGGACTAAGACTTCTGGTTTTAACAACCCTATGATTTATCCTTGGTCCTCTTTGCAGATACCTCTTGGAATGGGCAGGGCAGAATCAGTTCTATACAGCAGTAACAAAAGCTCCCTCACCAGGCTAGTTTGATACAGTTGATCATGTTGTTCACTGTGGATTGCTGGGGCCCTTTGAGCCACAGAGGCAGCAATTGACAGAGTAATCACATCTTGAGTCAGAGCAGCAGACAGGTTGCCCCAGGGAATGGCATCTATGATGCCTACTGAAAGTGAGGTGCTTGGCAACAGTTCTCTGGGCTCTCACACCTCTGCTGGCTTCCTGTTCTACAACAGGGTGTAGTCACTGACAGCCTGAGCACGTGTGTTTCTTTCTGGTGTTTGTCACAGTTAGTAGTCGTCTTATTGGTTTGTTTAGTTTTGTTTTTAGTTGCTTTCCATTGGCCTCTTAGATCCCTACAAGGAAAGACAGTGTTGGCAGCTGGACTCTGTGCTCACTCAATCTGCCTTGTGTATTTAAATACCGAACACATTGGTTTAAATGTGGAGAATCCTATGGCTATAACAGCACAAATGTCAGTTGACATCTGACCTTTGGGGTGCATGCTGACTCCATTTTACCACGCCCCATCTTACCTCTGGCCTTGAGATGACAGGGCAGAGACAGAAATTGACTGGGCATGCCGTCAAGAAGAAAAGGGTCAAAACCCACTCACTAAAGCATCATGGAAGTCAGAAAGGGTAGTAGAAACCAATATAGCTGGTGGAAATTGCTTTGAACAAAGAGGAAGGACCGAGGTGTACTGGCATGTTGTTGTGTTTGATTTTGGAGCATCAGCTTGCTGGGAAGGAAGTCAGTACTATCTCCCACCTTGCACTGGCAGCTGTCCACATGGTCCAGCTGCCACTTAGAAGGCATTTGGAGATAGATGATCAGTTCATGGATAAGGAAATTGTAGTTTAGACAGGACACACGATCAGTCACTACAGGTCATAGGACGGTGACGGGTAAGAAGCAAGCAGAATCTAGTGTTCTTTTGAGAGGACTGTGCTCTTTTCCCAAACCACACTGCAGAATGTTTATAAGCAATTTTATCATCTTATGCTATTTAGGGCAAATCACATACAAGGGTGTTTTCCTTCTTATTCCTTTCAGAAAAATATTTTAACAATTGTTTACATTTTATATATTTTTAATAACCCCACCATCATTCATTTTTATATACAAATTTCTTATGTTCAACTGAAATAAAAAGTGACTGAAATACAATTGCCTTGTGAGGCAAGGTTATTTCAGCAAAGATTCAAGAACCAATTAGCAATGGCCTTGGAGGGATGGATTTTAAATAGAAATTGTCTCAGGTCACCTGAAGGAAATCCATGGTCTGAAAGAGTTCATTTTTAAGGAGGCCATTTACTACAACCAGTCCAAAGTGTCAAAGACATCTATATAAATATGGCTTTTAAGGCTGAATTACTTAAGCTATGATTTTTCTCTTGTCTTTCACGGCAAGGGTATTTTACATACACGTTAGGATTCAATTAAATAAATAAAACTTCATATAGGCCACAGTAAAGCCAAAGGCTTAAGGAGGGCCAGAAATACCATTCTCTAGTGCAACAGCCTCACTTTCTGAGTGATGACCAAACACATCCAGAGCGGGTAATAAAATGAAGGTCAACACTTCTTATCACTCACTAGCTATTAGAGGATGGCTTTGGATCTTATAGCATTGTGGTGACTTTCCTCTGTGGCCAGCTCCACACAACTGAGCAGGAAGCTCTTCTCCTACCTGCTGGACCAAGCCTGCCACCTCTGCTTTCTTTTCACCCCAGCTGCAGAGAGCATCTGTCACAGTCTCCATTGGTGGGCAGAGATTTGAGAAACTTATTCCAGAAGCTGCTGTCCATCAACTTGCAGAATCCTAAGGAGACATCAGAAAGAGGGAAAACTTTATATATAACAGAAGTTAATTGGATTTGAGAGAACAAGGAATTCCCTAATTTAAAAAGATTTCTATTTAGCTGAATGGGATATGGGTACACTTTGAATACAAGATTTAAAAGTTTAAGAAGAATAAAAGAGAGTTTGAGCCAGTTCTAGGGCGGCAGGCATGTAAGGTCAGGTGAGTCGGACAAAGGAGCAGTCTGGGTGTGAGTTGACAAGGACTGTGTCTATCTAGTGACCATGTGACCTGCTGGAGAGTCAGCTGTGACTCAGGCCAAACTGATGGTTGTCATTGATGCCATAAAGGAAAAATGTACAACGATTTCACAACTTCAGATTTTTAAGGAAATCAGAAATAAATAATAATGGACTTTATGTGGAATTTCTTGAGTTGTACAAGTTAGGATTTAATTCACTAGATGAAACTTCATACAGCCAACAGTAAAGCCAAAGGTTTAATGATGGGTCAGAGTCACCCATGCTTCAATACAACTGTCTCTGCTCTTTCCAAGTGATGACAACCACATCCAGAGATGGGAAGCTTCTTGAGAAGGGTGGAGCTAAGGTGTTAGGGAGGACTATCACCCCTTTCACTTAGGATCTCCACTTTCACTTAGGCCCACTCTAAGACCAGCCAAAATAGACCAAACCTGTTCACATAATTGGCTGAAAGCCAATAAAGAGCTGCCCTTCACTGCTGTGATTCTGGGTTTTCAAACTAGCAGTGTACAAAGCTTCCTGACGGAGGACTGGTGGTATTCCAGACTCACCATTCATAGTTGCAAGGATGCAGGGAAAGTTAGTGGCTACAGTGCATATTGTTCCACATCAGAAGCATGGCTCCAACCATAGGCATCTGTTTGGATGGATTTGAACCAGAGCAGCCAGCTCTGAGGAGTAGAAACAATGTCTAGTGGGTCTCCTGAAGTTATATGTTGGTTCAAGTCAGTCAAATACAGAGTGATTTTCTTTACATGACTGTGTGTGTGTGTGTGTGTGTGTGTGTGTGTGTGTGTGTGTGTGTGTGTTGGATGTGTTTAGGTTGGGTTTGAAGATAATTTAACCTCTCGAGGACCTACATGCAAACCAAGGGAAACAGTGAGTTGAACAGAGGATAGAATATTGTTTGCACAAGGTAGGCATACATGCTCACTATATTGGTAATAACAAATGCTAAGTAGTATTTGTAGCAAGTGCTAACATTTACTTATACTCGAATGTCATTATTGTCATAACTGCTATCTATCACTGTCACCAAAGTCCTCTTAGGTTTTTACACTATTTGTCCTTTGAGAACTAAGTGCCTTATGCATGGTATTTAGAGGAGACAGTGATTGAACATGGGTCTGTTCAGCCTGCCATTGCTTACCCAACCTCTTTTGAGCTTTGTCAGTGTCCAACTCAAGGTACACTTCATGTTGTCAAGAGTAGCAGATTGAATTTGGTCAAACATCAAATACTTACTAAGTTAAATGGCAAGGCAGAGAAGTCCCACAGGAAGCATTTTAAGTCACTGTAATACTGGTAATGTCTTATCTTATGAAAAACTGTATTACTCTGTAATGGGATTATACCATGTAAAGAAGAACAAATGAAAGTATGTAGATGATTTTTAAGCTATATAAATTTTAATTTAAATGGAAAGTTCCATAGTTTTTAATAGATTATTTTCATGATGTTGGTAATATAATTTCTATAGACTTTTAATAACTAAAATGAGTATTGAAGGTTCAATTCAGGAAAATTACACCTGGAAGATTAAATGTTTTTCCTTGCTTTTATAAGAGAAAATCTGTGTAAAAGAAAGAGCTAAATATAACATAAAACTGAATTCTGTGCAGTGCTAACATTGAACACTTTATATAAAACACTGAGTGATGAAAAGGAAGGCAGCAAAGGTTGGAGGAAATGATGTCAAAGATCGAAACCATAAGTGGCTGTGCCAGCTACTCTCCAGTTATTTTTAACACAGTATTTACTAAGGGGAAATCACCTTACAACCACAAAAAGAATGTGGAAAATGGGCAAGTTTAAAAATTTCAAGCCTTATTTAGGTAAATTTATGTTTTGGATACTCATTCTGAAGTAGTTATGTGGATTTTTTTTTTGACATATTAAAAAAATTAAAGTTCACTAAACAAGGGGAAGGCAAGTGTGTGTGTGTGTGTGTGTGTGTGTGTGTGTGTGTGTGTGTGTTTCCTTTTAATCAGAATAATTAATTTCCACCAATATCAGGAAATTAGAAACCTGAAAATACATAGGTGCATTTTTTTTTTTGCTTTTGGTTAAACTTAGTATTATCCTAAAAGGTAATGACATCTAATTCATAGAACTAAATTAGAACACGGAGACATGCTTTACAAGACAAGATGAAAAGTACAAACCACTCTTCAGTTTGACTTTTCCCATGCAATTTCAGTAACTAAGCTGGAGGCACTGCAGCTTTCTAGAATGTAAAGCACAACTCCATTCAGATGTTAGTTCTAGAATACAAAACAGTATTTCAAAGTCAAGTAGAAATTAATTTGTTCATTGTCTATTCTTTTGGGTAATTGCCATTATTGCTATTTCTCTCTGGGCAATTCACTGAAAACTGACTACATCAAGCGCTGTGATTTTTTTTTATAGGGAAATGGTTTAGACTCAACATTTGTCACCCAGATTTTAATTCAGTTTGCACTTCTCCCAGACTTAAGAGTGATAGTTCTTCTAGTGTATTACTCTATTACATTTCATGAGCACTGTCCTTTTTTTTTTTTTTTTTTTTGGTTCCCTTTGGCAAGAAGAAATTTTTCCGGTGCCAATTATGGGTGAGAAATTTACTTATTCTGTGAGAATATTTACAAGTGTGAGCTAAGTGAGAATATTAGTGACATATTAGGGTAAAGAAGATAGCAATAATTTGGACATCAGGGTTAGCCTCCCCATTCTTCCTCCCTCCCTTGGTGATAACAAAGGACGTTGCCTGTGGATCTCTAATTTCAGCTTCTGGTTACACCAAACCAAGGTTTGTGGGATAAAGGAAGTGCATGGAGAAAACAGAACATACTGCTCAGTTGCTTATTTACTAGCTGATCAAGGTTGTTTCTGTGACTCAGTGGGAAACGAGGTGGAGAAAACAGCTGATCACATTAGTTAGTGGATTTAGGTGAGGGAACAGAGAGCTTCCCAGCTCTAAATTTCATCAATAATGAACTTCACTTTCTCTTTGTCATAGCAGGTATCTCTGAGAAACAGACTCCGAGATGCCAAGATTTCTGCGCAGGAAGTCCATTAGAGCCTGTTTGTGGGAACAGCCCCTGCTGCGGAGGTGAGGCTAGAGTCGCCACCACAGCAGGTCTGGGCTGTACCTGCAGAGACTAGTGTGTGCTCCAGCCTGCTTACATAGGCTTCACAGGGCAGCACGATGCCCATCTTTTCACAGCATCAGGTTTAGATGCTTCTGTGCTAGTGGGGATGGGTCATTTGTAACACGGTCATAAGTAAACACTAGGAATCAGGTTCTCTCTCTAGCCCTCAATCCCTGGAAAGCTGGTTGACCATTAAATACTAAATTACAGAGAATGTTTCTTCAGCTCTTCAAGCCTAGATCCCTGTGACCAGTTCTTAGTTTTATATGGGTGACAGAGAAGGAATTGTATATTATATTAAGAAGTCTTGTGTTGTTTCAGTTATGTACAAGTTACTAGTCTAATATTAGTATTTTTAGCCTTACTGTGCTACCAGAGATATTTACGTCCGCTTTTCTGAAAGAGGCAAGCTTACTTGGAACCTATATGGGCACCACCTGTTAGAATGACCTCCAAAGTCTCTGTGATGTATCAAAGTTTAAGTACTGGTGATGATTAAGCCATATCCTGAAAAAATATGCAATCATAAAAAAATCTGAAATGATTTAGTGTGGTGATATTTTGTTTATGCTTTAACAAATAAATCTTGCCTGAAGATCAGAGTTTGGAGCTAGCCACTATAGGCCAGGCAGTGGTGGCACACCCCTTTAATCCCAGCACTTGAGAGGAGGAAACAGGAAGTGATGTTGCTGGGTGGAGAGAAGTGGCTATATCATTTGTTGTCTAGTCTTTGTGTAATGGGAAAATACAAGGCTTGTCTAATTAGACCAATTAGAACTTGAGCTACAATTTAGTTATACGATAGTACCACTCTCTACTAATAACTCTGTCTACTTATCCCAGTGAAGTAGAAGGACACTAATTATAACATTCTTTGTTTAATAACATCATGATTATTTTTGGAGCAGGGTTAGGCCACATATCATAAAGTGGGAGAAGATGTTACAGTTACTGTCTAAGCCACAGAAGATCTGGGGTGAAATGATTCCAGGTATTTTCAAAGTTAATGTTTAAGAAGACAAACTAAACTCATTGCTATCCACAGGTACCAACACATTTAAGAAGCTCAGAAAGCTGGTGAGAGAGAATTCACTTATAACTCAGACAGCAGTGACTTTCGAGGGCACAGTTCTAAATAAATCTGCACATCTACAATGTTCTTTACTCAAAACCACCTTTCAAAGGTGTGCATCCTTCTATCTCATAGGAGAGGGCATGTGCAATGCAAAGGGAGACACAAGATTTAATAGACAGACAGATAGACAGACCATACAGAAATTCCTCTCAGCTTTGCTTCTCATGTCTGTCCAAGTATAAATGCATGTGTGCTTGTGTGCATGTAGAGGCCAGAGGTTGATTTTTGGATCTCTTCCTCAGTCATTTCTCCATCTTATTATTTGAGTGGGGGTCTCTTACCGAGCCTGGAGGTCATTAATTTTCCTGGACTGGCTGGCTAGCAAGCCCCATGGATCTTCCTGCCTCAGTCTCCCCAGCATGAGGAACCCAAGCACATGCTGTCCCACCTGGCTTTTTATACAGGATCTAGAGATCCAAATAAGGTCCTTGTGTTTGTGAGGTGAGCACTTCACCAACGGAACCACCTCCTCCCCAGCCCAAGCAGTGGTAA